TCTATAGGATTTGACTCAATAAACTTTCTCTTTGATAATTCTACACTATCATTAAAATATTTTGCCATTGAGCTAACTTTTAATCCAACAACTAATTGAAAGATAGATTCCGTGGTGAATTTACGAATCCAAATTGAAAAGTCGATTGATACATCTTCTCCAATTTCTTTCCAATATCCAACTAATTCATTGAAGATTATTGGATTCCGATGTAAGGCCTCTTTTGAGAAACTCGGAGTAAGAACAGCTTGTGAAAATAATTGTCGATTTATTCTCCAAGTAGGAATGTCAGTATTAAATAGAATTCCTTTTCCTGTGATGTTTAACTCATCAAATACTGGCATATGTTCCGATCTCAATACGTAATTGGTTTTTGTGGACGGTGACATCAATTTTTCAACATAATCAGCTCGAGCGAGTACAATTATTCTTAAACTTCCAAGATATATTTCGTAAATATCCCCATGTTTTCCATGTAGTAGCTTTAACCATAGTGTTACATCACCTTTGGTATAATAAAAAATCGATAAATAATTTCCGACGATAGGTAATGGAACGGGTCCCGGCAAAGGATTTGATCGTGTTAAATAATTGTAATAAAATCTTGCGATGTATACAAGAATAATCGATACAATTATTCCTATAAGATCTGTTGTTCCTAGTGAATTTATTATGTTCATGGTGGTAAATGGTTAGAAATTTTTGTGGAAAAAAAACTTTGCGATTCAATCGATTAAATAAAGTTTCACACAAATGATGCGCAAAAATAAGAAAATCATTCAACTTACATGAAATTGACAAATCGAGAAAAGTCATTCATGAATGACTGACAATTATTGTGCTAAAATAAGAAAGTCATTTGTCAATGACATTTTAATTGAGAAAATGTAATTTTCACCAGAATTAATATTCTAATAATTATTATCGAAAGCTTGCGTGTTGTGCCCATATTTTATTAGATTAATCGGACTAATGAAGATACACATTTGAGATTCCAAATCGTTATTAAAATTGACTTCTGACTTTGACGATTTCCGACTTTCGATAGTTTGTACGATATGGCTTATGCTCAATCTTATATGTAGAAAGTTATTATTTACTACTTTGTAAATTTTTTAATAAAAAAGGTTTAGACGTGTTGTAGCCCAAACGTCACTATGTCCCAAGTTAAACTTGGGATATCCCAAATCGGAATTCCTATTTCGGACTTCCC